TGCAGAACAGGAGCACCCGCCTCCTGCGTGGGCGGGCCCAGCGAGGTCCTGTACCTCAGGGCCTCTCAGAGGGCTGCAGCCTTAGCCGTCCAGGAAGCTGCCTGCTTTGGCGGGAAGGGCAGCCAGCGGGTTTATGCTCAGTCCCTCCTGGTTCTGGCCACGCTGTGTGACTCGGGGCTGCGCTCTGTCCCTCTCTGAGCCAGAGCTTCCGCCATGTGACGTGAGGTGGTGGACACAGGCCTCACTAAGGAGCTTCCTTTTCTGTGGCCATTCTGGTGGGAAGGACGGGCTTCGGGGTGGGCAGAGGACAGGTCAGCAGCGGGCACGGAGCGCCCAGCCTGGCTCAGCTCACAGACTAGCGATGAGGCCGCTTCAGGCGCCTTCTCTGTCCCCACTCAGTGGGTCTGGGCGACTGGATCCCGGACACTTCGGATCCAACTGTGCTCCCAGCAAGCTTTCCCTGGGGCCCCATCACCCCCCTCCCAGGCCCCGACTCTCGGGAGCCTGTTAAATGGTATCCCCCGCCCCGCTGTGCCCGAGCCCGCTGTGGGTGCCAGGGTCCCCATCTGTAAAAGGGAACCCTCCCCTCCCCCAAGGTTTCTGGAGGAGGAAGTGAGATCATCATCGTAGGTGACCGCCTCCAGCCCAGCGCAGGTGGTGCCAAGGGGGCTCCATAGATCTCGCTCCTCCCTGCCCCCTGCCCACCGCTGTGACCTCTGCACACAGCCTCGCCCTCTTCCAGGCTCCCCTCCAGCCCCAGCTGGCAAGCAGTGTTTCCTGTCTCTTGCTGAGCCTGCCTGGAGCCCTGGCTGATGTTGCCGTTAACTCTCCTTATTGATCGTCCCAGGGCTCTGGGGAGGGCGGCCGCTGGTCTCCATGCCTTGGACCAAGCCCAGGCTGGCCCTGGCAGGAGCCGGGACAGGGCAGGAACTGGCTGTGCTGGACACCGTGTCCAGGGCTTTCACCTGCATCACCTTCTCTCATCCTCCAAGTGACCCCGGAAATCCGATCGGAGACTCCCCACCCCAGATGAGGAGCCAGGCTCTAGGGTCCCTGGGGCAGAGCCCTGATGGAGGGAACGTGGCTTGCAGAGAAACACCCGATCCTGTGTGGCTCTGCCCCAGGCCCCTAGCGCCCTCGCCTGGCCAGAGTGGGTACAACACACCCCTCGGGTTTCTGCCCGTGCCTCCTCCCAGTGGGAGCATCTCTACCAGCTTGGGCCACCTGCCTCCTTGTCCGTCCCTCCAGAAAGCATGCCCAGGGGCTGGGGACAGAGAAAGGCAGGGGAGTGATTTATGAACAGAGCTGTGCTGCTTAATCAGAGAGCCCCTCCCGGGCCCACGCCCCGCAGATGGGGCTGAGCCGCCATCTGGGGCAGCAGGAGGGGCGAGATTAATAAAGCTGTCTGGCCCAGGCGGGAGCCTGCTGTGGGAGCCCCGAGGCGCCGTGCGACCTCCGCCCCCTCCCAGCCCTGCTGTGGGCCTCAAGGCTCCCATCTGTCAGGCGATGGCAGCACTGGGTCAGCCCCCCGGGCCCTCCAGCTGGCTCAGGGCAGGAGCTGGCTGGCTGGCTGAGACTCTGGGCCTGATTCAGGTCAGAACTGGGGTGAAGACTGAGACACGACGCTCCCTGGTTGCGGCACCCTCTCTGCTGCCCTGCCCCGTGGACTGGAGCCCCGTCAGGAGCTGTGATTTGGAGCCCAGCAGGCTTGGTGCTTAACCTTAACCATGTCTTACAAGCCAGGCGCATGGTCCTGGGTCAGCTCATTTCCATCTCTGGGCCTCAGTTTTGCCGCCTGTAAAATGAGGTCCTAATGGTACCCGTCTCCTGGCTGGGGGTGAAGGAGGAGACACACGGACACGTGCGGCAGCCGCGGGCCCCTGGCAGCCTCTCGGTCCTGTTCGCTGTTGTCAGGCTCAGCTCTCCCAAGACTGCAATGATTCATCTGAATTGGGGCCATTTGGGGAAGACGTTGGTGTCGTCCTGAGCCAGCCGAGAGCCCACAATTCCCTCCACGTGACCCTTCCATGATCAGCACCCACTTATTCCAGATCCACAATGAGGCTGCTAGGAGGAGCTCCCCGTGGGGACCACGTGCGGCACATTCCAGGCCTGCCCATCCCCCACGGAACCAGGAATTCTTTTTTTAAAAAAAGATTTATTTTATTTATTTGAAAGACAGAGTTACAGAGAGAAGTAGAGACAGAGAGAGAGGTCTTCCATCTGCTGGTTCACTCCCCAGATGGCCGCAACAGCCGGAGCTGCACCGATCCAAAGCCAGGAGCCAGGAGCTTCTTCCGGGCCTCCCACTTGGGTACAGGGGCCCAAGGACTTGGGCCATCTCCTACTGCTTTCCCAGGCCATAGCAGAGAGCTGGATCAGAAGTAGAGCAGCCAGGACTCGAATTGGCGCCCATATGGGATGCCGGCACAACAGGCCAGGGCTTTAACCCACTGCGCCACAGCACCAGCCCCACGGAACCAGCAATTCTTACGGCTCCCATTGATCAGGCTGGTTCCATCCCGGAGCAGGGGGGCAGGCAGTGACCAGGGCTGGCGCTGTGCGCAGCACTGCAGAGACAGCAGTGATGGGGTGGATGTCATAGGCACCACTCAGGCTGTCCTGGTTCAGGGCAAGCGTGGGATGGGGGCCCAAGCAGGACAAAGAGAGAACGGAGTGGTTGGGTGACATTTGGGATGACAGCTGGAACAGAGCAGAGGAAGAGGAGGGAGCCATGACCTCTCCCTGCTGCTCAGAGCCCTGGGGTGGGGGTAGGGGGCCAGGAGCTACAGCTTTGGCCCTGGGCCCCAGGGTCCCATTCCCCAGGCTGCGGAGGGGGTCTGTGGGCCCAGAGGACTTCTCCTCGGTCCCCTCTGGTATCCACCTGCTGGGCGTGTCTTGCTCCAGGGCAGTTCCGAGGCCTCTTGGGTGCTGCCCTGTTCCCCTTCCTCCAACCACATCCCCCCAAACTGCTTTTCTGATTTGCTGCCTGAAGCTCTAAAAGCAGCTTGAAATCCCTGGAGGGTGCCCAGTTTTGCCAGCTGCCTTGCCAAGCCTCCGCTTCCTTCTGTAGAATGGGTCGATAATCCAGCCACCAAGCGACTTTTCAGTAGATTCAATGGAGCCAATGGAATTCAATGAAATTGCGCAGGAGGAGACACCCTTGATTCCAGCCCCCTCAGTCGGATCCATCGCTTACTGGCTGCGTGATGCTGGACAGGCCACGCCCCTCTCCAGGACTCCTGTCCCATACTACAAGTGTAACCTCCTAGGATGCTCCGAGCATACAGCGAGCTCAGGCGTGTCAGTGCCATTGTGCGTGTCACATGCAAAGCTGGTGCACACAGTGCGCATGCGTAGGCCACGCAGGGCTTCCAGCACCTGGGCCATAGCAAGCGCTCAGTGGGGACGCCCCGTTTGCTGTCTGCCCCTCTGCTTCTCTCCATCTCAGCTCTCGCTCAAGCCCTCCTTCACCGTCCTCTCCTCCACCTGCAGGATGATTACACCAGCGGAGTGAGCCCCCCTCCTCCTGCTCCCCAGCCCTGTAGCTGTCTGTGCTGCCTTAGCTCTTCTCACCTCCTGCTCCCCCTAACGCGCTGCGGGGAGAAGGGGCTTATTTACATCCATATCTCCCAGTGTAGCTCATGACACACAGTAGGAGCTCAGTATTCATCTAATGAATATTTGATGGGTAGACAGGTGAATGAGTAGAGGGAAGGAAAGAGGGGATGGGAGGATGGATGGATGGGGATGGATGGATGGATGGATGGGAGGGTGGATGAATGGATAGATGGGGATGGATAGATGGGTTGGATGGATGGGAGGGAGAATGGATGGATGGGTAGATGGATGGATGGGTGTAGATGGATGGATGAGGATGGATGGATGGATGGATGGGAGAGAGGGAGAATGGATGGATGGGTGGATGGGTACAGATGGATGGATGGATGGATGGCTATAGATGGATGGATGGCTATAGATGGATGGATGGGTATAGATGGATGGATGGGTATAGATGAGTGGATGGATGGGAGAGAGGGAGAATGGGTGAATGGATGGATGGATGGGTATAGATGGGTGAATGGATGGGAGAGCAGGAGAATGGGTGAATGGATGGATGGGTGGATGGATATGGATAATAGATGGATGTGATGCATGGGAAGATGGGTGAATGGTTGGACAGATGGATAGATGGATTAGATGGATGGATGGGAGGATGGATGGATATGGGAGATGAAGGGAAAGAAGGAGAGAGGGTGGGTGTAGAGGAATCCTTCGCCCACCGCCCCCTCACAGGCTGTAGGCAGACTTGTATCTTGAGAGCTGGAAATGTCGCCGTTCCTCCCCACGGGAACACCCACCACAGCCCAAGCTCCCTGGGCCACGTGTTTGTTCAGGATTGTCCTGTAGCGCTGTCTGAGCAGATCTGGCTGGGGAATCCCCCGCAGGTGCTAGAACAGGGGTCTCCAGATGGTGCCCGTTTGACTTCTGAAATCAAACTCTCATTCCCAGTACTGGCAGCGGCCCCGTAAGAGAACCTTCTGGCAAATCCTCATGCAAAGCCGAGGAAGCCTTTCCAGCGTCAAATTCCTGGCTGCTCAGAGTTGGGGTTTCCAGGGAAGGTTCAGTGAATCAGGTGCAGGTGGCACCCGGGTAGCATCCAGGCACGTGGGCCCCCGATCCCAGCATCTCCCGTCAACTCCTCAGTCACATGCAGCCAGATCAGCTGAGATACGGCCCAGGCCAGGACCTGCGCACCTCAGGGAGATGTGGCTCGCCACCCGGCCCCGGCCAGGGCACCTGGCACCGCCGTCCAGGCAGAGGCGGGCACCGGAGCCGACCTCCCCGGCTGGAGTGGCCCCAGGTGCTGCGGGCTTTTCATTAGCGCTAATGGGTGCGGCTGAGCAAGACCCTGGCCCCGGGCGTGTGCACTGGGAGGGCGGGTGTCATCAATGGCTCCGTATTGATTTGCGGTAGTAACTGAATATTTGCTCTTACAGGACAAGCTGGGCTGACGAAAGAAGCGAACGCGAGCCCTACGGAGCACAAGACTCCATCCTGCTGACGCCTGGAGAGCTGCCCAGGTGCCGAGTCCACGGTCACCTGTCCTCTGGCTGCGCCCGTGGCCCGCCTCCCGCCCTGAGTCTGTCTCTCCTGTGCCGCCTCCTGCTCTGCCTCTCCCTCCCCTTTGGACTTGCTTTATCTGTGTCTCTGGTCTGCTGACTGTTCTCTGTGCTATCCCTGGTTCCTCTTCTCCCGCGTGCACTCATTCACCCCCACTCTTCATTCATTCAGGTTTATTCATTGAGGAGCCATCTTGGGCAGGCACCGCTCCAAGCCCTAGGACGGTGGCAGCGGACAAAAGAAGTGAGTGTGTGGTGGTGAGGCTTCCGCAGTCTCCGGGCTGCTCTGGAAGTCAGCAAGGAGCGCCGGGGCGGGGCTTCCAACCTCAGACCCAGCACTGACCACTCTGGGATTGGCCAAAGCCCCTTGCAGAATCCTCGTGACCAAAAGGAGGGCGCTGGGCGGGGTCACTGCTCCCTGACTTTTCACACCTGCGACCTTCCTTTATTTATTCCTTTATTTTATTTACAGTTTATTTTATTTTATTTTAAAGGCAGAGGCAGGGGGTTGGGGGTGGTGGTGGCTCTTATCTGCTAATTCACGCACCCAAATGCCTGCAATGACCAGGCTGCGCCACGGCTGACACCTGGAGCCGGGACCTCCATCCGGGTCTCCCACAGGAGTGACCGGCACCCGATACGTGCCTTGCGCCATCACCGCTGCCTGCCAGGGGCTACACCGGCAGGAGCAGAGCAGGGAACTGAACCCAGGCCTGTCGAGTGCTTCAGTGGATACACTGGTGGCGTCAGTTACACAAGGGCTGGGTCCAGGTCTGCGCGGAACGAGCAGTGACATCACAGAGAGGCTCCCCTTAGATTGATTCCCTCCAAGCCTGGCTTTGTCCCCTCCCCCCCCCCCCCACACACACACAGGACCAGCGGGCACGTCTGGGGGTCAGGCCGTCTGCATAAACACCCACTAAGTGCAGGACAGTCCCACGGCGGGGTGCACTGTCTCTGTGACAGGCACAGGAGACCCACAGGGCAGATCCAGGGCGCCCATTCGTGGGGTCTCTGGGGCAGACGCTGTGGCGTGGAAGGATGGGCAGGACCACAGTGTCTCAGTGCTCCCGCGTGGGCAGTGGAAGTCACCCTGGGTCAGTCTGCCTGCGACACGGACGCCGCCTTTCCTCCCTCGGGGCCCCAGGGTTCACGAGAGTGCTGCTGCCTTCTTGGGGACCCCTGACGCTTTCTCCTTCATCTTCGTGCTGTGGCCAGAGCTGCTAAGACACGGGGTCCCCACCCTGGGGTGGTTTAATTGCCCCCAAACCAAAGGCACGCCCCTGTTGAGCCAGCCTACGGTGACAGGTGCAGTTCTGAGCTGCGATTGGAAATACGGAAAATAACTGTAGGATGTTGCTTTAGTCTCGGGGAACCCAGCTTGAGACCCTCCAAATACGAGCCCTGCTCAGAAACACACAGGATGGCTCGGGGTTCTTCTTAGCGCCCCCTCCTTTGCCAGAGCTTCTCCGCGTCCCCCTTCTCCTTTAAAGTAAATTAGAGAATTAGGTAGGGATGACTTAGCTTCTAGAAGGCTCTGAGGGGAGGAGGAGCGCTAAAGCCAGCTCCAGGCAGAGATTGGATGTCCTGTGTGTCTGTCACGATAGTCTAGCCAATGTGCTCTGGAGATGTGTCCCCACATTCAGAAGCCCCCGCCCTTTCAGGGGGTGGAGCTAGTGACGGTTTTTCTGTTCCCTTCAGCCTGGCGGGTGGGCGGTGCCCAGGGAGGCTGTCTCCCCTGGACAGTGGGACATAGAGTAGACAAATGGCGGCCTGAAGCCCGGTCTGCAGTTTGCAGGACAAACATCCAGGGAAAAACTGTGATTGGGATGGGGCCGCAGAGTCGGAGAGGCATGGGTCCAAATTCTGGGCCGGGCACTTCGGTGCTGTGTGACCTTGGGCCAGCGACCCCACCTCTCCGAGCCTCAGTTCCCGCCCTGGAAGAGTGGAATGGCGTTCCCTGCTTCCTGGAGCTTGGAGGGGCTCAGGGAAATCGTGCATTCGGGGGCCGCCGGTGCCCGCTGCTGCGGTCCTTAGCCGCCTCGTGCCACGCTCTGCCCTCGGTGTCTTCCACGCCTTATGAGGAAGCAGGTCACACGCAATCCAGGAGCCTGGCCTCCCAGGCAAGCCTGGCAGGGCTGGAAGTCCACTTCGTTACCCCTCACCCACCCTGCCCTCAAGCCGGACCCTGGATCCCCCACCCTCTGGCCCGCACCTGCTTTCCTACCTTCCTCACCCTTGAGGTGGCCGCAGGCTGTTCCCGGGAGACACGTCTCCTTTCAGGGCAGAGCCCAGCCCGTGAAATGCAACCTGCAGCGGCTGCAGAGCCGCAATAAACACCGGAGCCCCTTTATGAGCTGCCGTCTTTATTATTCCTTAATTGCTAAACAGCCAGAGCCAGCAAAAGCAGGATGGCCCCCTGGAGAGAAGCTTTGCCGAGGTGGGCAGCAGGGAGGGACAACTGGGCCGGGCAGCCCACACATCCTGGCCTCTCAGGGCCGGGGCTGCTCTTCCCTCCCCACAGCACCTCCGGTCCAAGTCAGAAATGGACAGGCCACTACATTTCCGCTCGTTTACAGATGCTGAGATCAGAGAGGGCTCGTGCTTGCCTGAGGTCCCACAGCAGTGACTCACAGAGCAGGAGGCCCCACCTGGGCCGTTCCTCTCCCCTCCCCTTCCCACCCAATTGAAATAAAGTCCTTGGAGCCTTGCTTCCAGTTCACACCATGCTTTCCTCTTTGCACGGCCATGCGTTCATCACTGGGCGACTTGCTGCCTCAGTTTCCCCTTTGGGTGAAACAAGAGTGTCGTCCCAGGTGGGCTCCAAGTGGTCCCCCGTCTCCTGGCTTCGATGCCGGGTGGCCCTGCCCGTGTGCCACCTGCTGAGCTGTTTTTTCTATAGCGCAGGAAGCAGGTGCAGAGAGCCAGGTGCCACGGGGCCGGTACCCAGAGCAAACGGCGGGTGTGCCTGTCACACCCTCCCCAGGGCCGCAGTGCCTGAGTGGTGTCACGGGCACTGGCCAGCCAAGGTCGGCTGATGGACTGACACCAGGCTCATCGGCAGAAGCTGCACGAGGAGAGAAGGAGGCCCCGGCCCTGCTGCCAGGCGCCTCTCCTGGGAATCTGGGAGCGTTGGCTTTGCCTGCTGGAGAGGGCGCTGGGTTAGGGTCTCAGGCAGAGAAGGCTGAGTGCCCGCCTCGCGCCAGGCACCCCACACAAGCTTTGGTGCTACCGCCTACAAGTGGTGTGGCCTTGGGCAAATTCCTTAGCCCCTCTGCTATTTCATCCACTTCACCGGCCTGAGGTCGGGATTGGCCGTTGAATATCGCCCCATTGCTTGCTGTGGGAATTTGATGTGATGATATCTGCAAAGCCCTTGGCACCCTGCCTCTTCCCCAAACAGTGGCTGCTATCACTGTGTTTTTAAAGATTTATTTATTTATGTATTTGGAAGGTAGAGCAACAAAGAGCAAGGGAGAGAAAGAGAGAGAGATCACCCATCTGCTGGTTCACTCCCCAAATGCCTGAAATAGTCAGGGCTGGGCCGGGCTGAAGCCAGGAGCCAGGAACTCCATCCTGGTCTCCCTCGTGGGTGGCAGGGGCCCAAGGATGCTTTCTAAGGCATTTCAGCAGGGAGCCGGATCAGAAGCAGAGCAGCCGGGACTCAAACCAGTGTTCCAGTATGGGGTTTTGGTGTTGCAAGTGCAGCTTAACCCATGGTGCCACATCTAGCCATATTTTTTTAATAAATTATTTTATTTCTTTGAAAGACAGAGTTACTTGGCCGGTGCCGCGGCTCACTAGGCTAATCCTCTGCCTGCAGCACTGGCAACCCAGGTTCTAGTCCTGGTCGGGGCACCGGACTCTGTCCCGATTGCTCCTCTTTCAGTCCAGCTCTCTGCTGTGGCCCGGGAGTGCAGTGGAGGATGGCCCAAGTCCTTGAGCCCTGCACCCACATGGGAGACCAGGAGAAGCACCTGGCTCCTGGCTTCGGATCAGCGTGGTGTGCCAGCTGCAGCATGCCAGTCACAGCGGCCATTGTGGGTGAACCAATGGAGAAGGAAGACTTTTCTCTCTGTCTCTCTCTCTCTCACTGTCTACTCTGCCTGTACAAAGAAAGAAAGAGAGAGAGAGAGAGAGAGAGAAAGAAGAAAAGAAAGAGTTACAGAGAGAGGTAGAGCCAGAGAGAGAGAGAAGTCTTCCATTCCGTTGGTTCATTCCCCAGATGGCCACAACAGCTGGAGCTACACCAATCCGAAGCCAGGAGCCAGGAGCTTCTTCCAGGTCTCCCACACATGTGCAGGGGCCCAAGCACTTGGGCCATCTTCTACTGCTTTCCCAGACCATAGCAGAGAGCTGGATCAGAAGTGGAACAGCCAGAACTCAAACCGGTGTCCATATGGGCCGCGGGCACTGCAGGCAGTGGCTTTAACCCACTGCGCCACAGCGCCGGCCCCTATTGGTTTTATTTTAAGGACTAGTTGTGCACAGGTATGGGGTACAGGGTGATGTTTAATGTTCCTAATACTATAATACTGCTCAGGATATTAAAAGAGTACTTGTGATGGCATTAGTAATAAACCTCACACACTCAGCCACCTGCCTCTGTGGCGGGTTGGAACTGAGTCCAGCCATGTCCCAGGGGAGAACCTAGGCGCTGCACAAGGCAACCAGGCAGCATCTCCCCACATCCACCCACGCCCAACACACTCTCAGAATGCTTTGCACCAAGTCCTGCCGTAAAGGCTCATGCCACCTGCTGGGAGCACCTGAGGAGGAACCCAGGATGGACTTGGGGTCTGCGCCACCCCCACCCCAACTCCCATGGGACACAGGTGTGTCATGGTCCTTCTATCGCATGGACCTCTAATCCTGGCCCCCAGTCTCTCCCCAGAGCAGCGATAAAGAAGATGTGGGAATACTGAGTGTCGATTACAAACAAAACGAGGGAGCCGACACAGCTGGGCCAGGCACGCCGAGGCTTGCCCAGTTACAGCTGGCTGGACAGCGCAGTGTTCCATGCCTCGCCCCCACGGGTATCCATCTAGGGAGGGACATGGAGGGCTCCGGTTGGAGCCTAAGACGCAGGGCTTGGAGCCCTGGGAGGGGCCCGTGCCCCCTTTCCTGGCCGCTCCCTCCTCGCTGGCACCAGGGCTGCCCTCCCGTCCTGTGGCTGGAGGGTGTGTACTTGCACAGAGCGCAGGGCCTGGGTTCCGATCCCGGCTTGGGGACTTCAGCAAGCCCCCAAGGCTCTGAGCCTGTGTTTTTGCTTATCCCGGATGGAAGACTCACGCCTGCGCTAACTAACCACTGATCACGTGAGGCTCTGGCTTTAATCTCCATTTTCAAGTTGGGGGTGGGGGTTAAGACCCAGAGAGGTGGAGTAATTTGCCCAGGGTCACACAGCACATGAGTGGTAGAGCTGGGGCTTGGACCACAGCAGGCTGGCTCCAGCCTGCTCCCTGTTGCCAACCCCAGCCGGATTCTCTGCCTCCCTCCTCCTCCTCCTCCAGCTGCCAGGGCAGGGCTGGCCTTGGGGCCCCTCTGGGGAGGGCGTGGGGTTTTATTCCTGGGCGGGGGCCCCAGTATGGGGGCCACTGAGGCGGCTTTGTATTTCCTAGGCCGATCACCATGGAGGGCGACTGTCTGAACTGCATGAAATACCTGATGTTTGTGTTTAACTTCTTCATATTTGTAAGTCTTCCTGGGTTTCCCGGGCCCCTGCTGGGCTGAGCTAGGGGGTGGGTGGGAGGCGGAGCTTTCAGGAGAGGGGTGGAGCCACAGCCCCGCAGCGCTCACCCGTGTCATCACCGGAGAGTTTTACACGGAGTCTGGCTTAGGCAGGGGTGGGGGTGGGGATGCGGGGGTAGCAGTCCTGAGTGAGCTTAGGTCCTGGTGCTTGGGAGCTGACCCCCGGTAGGGAGGAGGAGAGAAGGGGATGGGGGCCATCAGAGGGCACCGAGAGGGGACCCCAACCTTCTCCCCATCAGAGCTGCAGGAGCTGGGCGGGGAGGCCACTGACTTGATCAGGAGGCTGTGCAGGCTTGGCCAAGGCCATTGCACCAGCAGCGTGACGTGGCGCACGCTTAGCTTCTCAGAACCCCTGTCTCCTCTCCCAGTAGCTGACCTCAGCAGGCTCTCTGAAGATGGCGCAAGGGAGGGTCACCACGTGCCTGGCAGGTGGGGGCCAGCAGAGCTGAGCCCCTCTCCAGCGTGGGAGGGGTCAGCGGCTGTGAGCGCTCAGGGGGTCCAGAACATTCTGGAAGGTTCCGCTCAGGCATGGCGGCCTGTCCTAGGGACAGAAGCGCGTTCCCGGCTTAGTGCAACTGAGACCTGTGCTATCCGGTGCACTGAGCCTCCCCAGGGCCAGTCCTAGGGGAGAGAGGTCCCCCTCTAGCCAAGACTCTCTCTGCGCCCATCCACTGGTCCACTCCCCCAAATGCCCACAGACAGCTGGGGCTGGACCAGGCTGGCATCCATCCGGGTCTCCCATGTGGCTGGCAGGGACCCAAGTGCTTAGCCATCCCTGCAGCCTCCTAGGGTGCGCATCCGCAAGAAACTGGGATCAGAGCAGAGCTGGGGCGGGACCCACGGGTGCGCCTGTGGGACGCAGACATTCTGAGTGGAGTCTTAACAGCTGTGCCAAGCGCCTGCCCCGGAAGTAGACAACCCAGTCCCTCCCGCAGGTTCTCCCCCAGCCTCACCACCCTGAAGAGCCAGGAGCCCTGCAGACTTGAACTCCATGCCCAAGGCCTGCACTTGCCACGCTGGGGGGGACCCAGGCAAGCCCACCCCGCCTCCAGCCCCAGCAGCCCTGGGCCAGCTTCCTGTGTGCCCGAGCCCCCAGACCTCTCCCAGCAATGAGGAAGAGTAGGTTTTATTAGGGCGGGGGGAAGGAGAAAGATTTTGCAGGGCCAGGGGAGAGGGGTAACGACAGCCTTGGCCAGTCATTGGCTGCTCTTGTCGTCTGCCCTTCTCGCCCCACCCCTGCCCCAAGTCGCCCAAGGCTCAGACCCCCTGGGGGCGGAACTTTGGCTCCTGCACAACAGAACCACTTCCCATCCTTGTCTGTGCCCGTGAAACCTAGAATGGGGCTGGACTGAAATCCGCTACAGACATCCCTGTGCCTTCTGTGCATTCGTCCTTTGCAAAGTGCCAGCCAGACTCTTCCTTTAAAACACGAGGCCGCTAAGGCTCAGAGAGGTTAAGCCACTTAGCTAAGATCCCACAGCTGAGAAGGAGCCCAGCCTCTTCTGTGGATTAAGCCACCTGTTCCTGGGGCTCCCTGGTCCCTTGCTGTGTGACCTCCAGCCAGCTGGGAGCCCTCTCTGGGCCTCAGTGTGCAATTGGAGGCCCTGGTGATCCTGAGATGCTCTCCTGCAGCCAAAGCGGGGCGTGGCTCACATATTGCACTTGGAGGGTACGGGTGGCGTCTAAGATCCGGGTACCGCTGCTGGGACATTGACTGACGTTGCAAAGGGAGTGTCTGACTCTCCTGTGTGTGCTCTTTCTCCTTTCTTCCCCCACGGCTGGCCCGGGAGCAGCTGGGCGGGGCCTGCCTGCTGGGCGTCGGCATCTGGGTCATGGTGGACCCCACGGGCTTCCGGGAGATCGTGGCCGCCACCCCGCTGCTCGTCACGGGCGCCTACATCCTCCTGGCCATGGGGGGCCTGCTCTTCCTGCTCGGCTTCCTGGGCTGCTGCGGGGCCGTGCGCGAGAACAAGTGTCTGCTTCTGTTTGTGAGTACCCACCCCCCACAGACACACACACACACACACACACACACGCCCGTGGGTGGGAGGCTGGGGCTGCTGACCTGCGGGCCTCTCCTGGCTCGCATGCAGAAATTGACCAGCTTGTCCCAAACTTGGGGCTGTGGGCAGCAGTAGGGCCCCCTGAGGCCAGCATGGGCAGCCCAGAGCCCCCATGGGAAGTCCACGGCACAGGGCACGGGAGCTGAGGTCCTGCGGCGGCAGCAGCTCCTCCCGCGTCCCAGTGCACCTGACTTCCTCCCGCAAGTCAAGCCGGGGCACAGCATGGGTCCGCCCACCAGAGATTTGCCCGGAGGTGGGAGCCACTGTCGCTGCCCTCCAGGAGCAGGAAGCTCCGACCTCGGCCTCATGCCTTCGGGGGCCCCAGCTTCCAGAGCCTGCAGACTGGCCTTGGCCTCCAGGTGTGACAGCCCGGCTTCTGAGCCGTTGACCTTGGCCCTGATGCTTGCCCTCCGAAATGATCATCCCTCCCTGCTTCGCGACAGAACTCGGGCTGCTACTGGATGAAGCGCCAGCTCTCAGCTATCCAGTTCCAAAACAGAGAGGAGTGCACGGGTGGCTGGGCGAGGCGGACAGGCAGCCGAGCCCATGGGGAGCAGTTGGCAGTGGCGGCCGGCTTGTGTTTAAGTGCGCACCTGCCCGTGGCCTGGCTCTGTGGCTCCAGGCTAGTTTCTTGACCTCTCTGAGCCTGTCGGCGAGGGGCCCGGCCAGCTCAGCTGAAGTTTAGGGACACATGAGACAAACCCTGGCTGTTCTGGTTCCCTGGACTCCCACGCACTCTGGTGCTTTGGGCCTTTGCTTGTTTTCTTGGCCTGGAGGGGTGGCACTGCTCCTCCCTGAAGGGCCCAGGGGGGCTCTCCAGGTTCTGGTCCTGCTCTAGCCTTGCTACAGAGAAGGATGTGTGTGGCTGGGTCCCACTCCTCAGGGCGGGAGTTGTGGGGGGAGTGGTGCGGAGTGTGCAGTGTGGGGGAACCCCAGGCTGGTGAGCGGGACATCTTGCCAGGTGGTGTGGACAAGCAGGGAAGCAGAGATGTGATGTGGCCTAGATGAGAGCACACGTCACGGGCCCCGCTCCTGTCCCAGCTGCACATCCGGAGAGGAAGTGAAATCAGCTGTGAGATGAGTGGCCCGGGTGTCTTGAGTGGAGCGAGCGGCCTCTCTACATCAACAAGGCAAACTTTTCATCTGGAGACAAAGGGAAGGCGTGAGCGCCCCCTGGTGGAAGCTTCTCTATCAAGGTCGGCTCAGGCACAGAAGCATCTTGGCTAGGGACCCGGACTTCAGCAAGGAACTGGGATATGAGTCCCAGGACACACAGCAAACGGCCCTTTCCCCCTCCTCACCTCGGCCCCTGGGGGCTCATTCATTGTTAATGAGCTCAGCACTGAAGCTGAGACAGGAAGCCAGGCTGGCGCTGTTGGCAAGGAGCAGGCAGGGGCCTGGGCTGCAGCAAGAGGCCTCTCCAGCTAAGTGGCTGGCTGTGAGGCCGCCAGCTGGCTGAGGACGGCATCCCTCCCAGTGCACACGCAGGAGGCCGCCAGACCCAGGCCCAGCACCGGCACTGCCCTCGCGGGAGAGGTGGGACCTGGCTACGGGCCGGGCCTTTCCGTCTCCCCCCACTCATCCCTTTGTCCCTCTTCTGGGTGTCTGGGTGGCTGCCTTCTGTTCCGTCTCTGCAGCCTCCCTGTCTCCCCTCCACCACCCCAGATCTCGCGGGATCCACTCCCACCCCGTTCCTTGCCTCTGCCCATCGCTCCTTCCCCTCCCCTCTCTCTGAGACCCAGCACAGGCTCATCTGAGGTCCCAGCGCGGGTCAGAGGCAGGGGACACTGGGATCCTGGTCTCCTGTCTCCCAGATGGAGGGGCTCCCAGGGAGGGGCTCTGAGCCCCAGACTGACCAAAATCCGCCTAAAATCACGTGGAGAATGTTCCGTTGTGGTGTGCGTGTGCACGCTGGTGTGTACGCATGTGTGTGTTGCATCACATGTGCACCCTGTGTGGATGCACGCATGTCTGTGCTGGGGGTATGCATATGACTGTGGATGTGTGGTGTGTGTGTGTTCTATGTGAGTTGGTTGCATATGTGCTGTGTGTGTGTCCATGCTCATGGGGTAGGGGGTACGCGTCTCTGGGGAAGGCACACAGCTTCTAGAAGGTTTCCAAAAAGATGCGAGACTTAGAACGTGAGACAACCTGAACCCATCAGGAGTAGGGCGTGGGGCGGGCCCCCTGGTGGGCTCTGGGTTCTTCTAGAAGCCAGTGACTGCCCCTTCCACCGGCCGGGAGGGCATGCAGGTGCATTGAGCGGGCCTGAGAGAGGGAGACAAAAGGAGGGAGTGTGTCATTCGCCATCATCTGCTCCAAGGCTGCAAACCCCTGGGCCCTGGGCCAATCGGGGCCAGGGACAGTTGGGGGCTGGGACAGCCAGGGCTGGGGACAGCCAGGGCTGGGGACAGTCGGGGCTGGGGACAGTCGGCCTAATGACCAAACCCCCTGCTGATCAGCGTATGTAAACACACATTTCCAAACTTGGCCCCGTGGCTGGGTTCCACAGCACTCGTGGGCAGTGTGGCAGGATCAGCCTGTGTGTGAGTTTCCATGGCACCTTTTTCCTGTTGGCTTCTCTTTGAGTATTTCAAGGGTGTTTTGCCTCCAATTTATTTAGATGTCCGAATTTTTAAAATATAACAAAGATATGCTAAATTGGAAAGGAAGATGGCCAAAATTTAGAACTGAATGCAGTTTGCAAATGTTTATTGATTTATTTCCATCTACTTGAAAGGCAGAATGATAGAGAGCATCTTCCATCTGCTAACTCACGCCCCAAATGCTTGCCACAGCCAGAGCTGGGCCAGGCCAAAGCCGGGAGCCCAGAACTTCCTCCAGTTCTGCCATGTGAGTGGCAGGGGCCCAGGCACATGGGCCGTCTTCCGCCGCATCCCAGGATGCATGAGCAGGGACCTGGACCGGAAGCCGAGGAAGTGAGGCCCCGAACCAGCGCCCACTGTGCCGTGACACCGCCCTGAGACGCGTGCCTCCAGAGGACACGAGGGAACTGGGGTGGGCACGAAGTGTGTCTGCTTGGGAGCCCGGGAAGCAGCCACTGCTGGAGGCGCGTGCACCAGAAAAGCCTAGAAACGCCCATGAGTGGGCCAAACCACGGCGTCTGCCCCTCTGCCGAGTGGCCAGCCCAGGCGCTGTGAAGTGGGTGGCCGGGGTGGGGGACAAGGTGGAGAAGGTGGCGTTGTCACCGCTGTAGGCAGCATGCACGCTTGCTCACCAGATGTCCCCTAGCACACACCTCTCAGTCGCTGTGCCCCGGGAGCCCCTGCCCACGTGGCTGCCTCCTCCAGGGAGGCAGTGATGTAGGGCGCTCATTCATTCATCTCATCCCGACGCTCCGGCTCCGTGCAGCTGGCCACTGGTGTGTGTGTGCGTGTGTGTACGAGCGCACGCAGCAGCACCGCCTACAGGACCTGGCCTGGAGCAGGTGCTCCAAGAATAGCCCCGGGACGGAGGGCCAGAGAGAAGGCGGCACTCAGAGGGGAGGGAAGAGCCTGGCTTTGGGGTACCTGCTCCCTAACTCCTCGGAATCGCTGCTGGCCTCTAGCCTGCGTTTCTGGGGCTTCCAGGAGAACATGCTATCGAGAGGCTATCCTGACTCACGGAGCCCGTGTCTCAGTCCCTGGTGTGTGCCCACCAGCGGTGCCAGCTCCTTGGGGTGCCAGTCTCCATCAGGGAAAGATGCCAAGAGCCCTGCCCCACCAGGCTGCTGGAAGGGTCCCCAGGTCTGGATCAGCAGGGCTCCACAGTGGTGGAGGCTGCTGGTTCTGCCAAGGACACGCTCGCTGGCACCTGTCTTGGGACACACGGAGCTCCCTCTCACTGGCCGCAGCTGTGTGAACCACCTGCGCCCGCCGGCTTTAGGCGGAGCTCTGCACCCAGTCACCCTGGATCTCACCCCACCCATGGAGGGGTACCGCCCACGTCCATGCCACGGCCAG